TAAATTATGCCCCGGACAATCTATGATATTAAAAACATGAACAAATGACAACTGCTTAGTGGGCATACGACCTGGATTCACTCTTCCGTCTTTTCGGGTACCACATATATAAGTTTGATGACCGTAGGTGAAATAGCACGGGAGTTGTGCTCCCGGCCCTCTGTGCCAACAAACGGCAATAACTCTGTATATAGTGAAACATAAGACCCGATTCAGCTTCCCAAGAGACATAAAGGAAATATATAGGAAGTTATATATTAGGCAAACTTTAACTAGAAATGTGTCAAAACTTGGTCCAAAACCCGAACGTAAAAGATTAACAAGTTCACAGAGGTCAAGGTCATAGGCATGTTAAGTAACATTAACCTAGCTACAGTACGCAGTTCATAGTAAAACCCGATCGTAAAAGCTAATCGAGGTCGCAGAGGACAAGGTAAAAGTTCATTTGTTACAAAAATGTCGAGCAACCTGCTTAAGTAACATAGGCGCATTATGATTTGCATGAGCTCAGCTGCCGTACTTTAGAACATAACTGAGTTTAATACAAAAACTTTACCAACCGAAAGTACATAGTCCTGACGTACATACCATGCTAAGGAAAGTGAACGGACGGACAGACACCGCAGTAAACAGCATTGCATTACGGTACGTAACAGTGTGATGTTCGCTAACGATGCTTGCGATTCGACATGGACATACATTTCAGGTCTGGGATAAAGTGAAGGTTTGGTCCATTGACGATAATGGTAAATGTGATGAGGACATACTTTCCTTTGATACAATTACCGTCACGACTGCAATCATACCCGCCATTACACACAGAGCCACACAAAACGCTATCAAACATAACATCACGGCCCCGGGCAGACGACTGGGCACTGAGGCTGGCCAGGGACGGGATGCCCACACGTAGCCAGAGGAACTACAGGGACCTGAGCATTTGTTACAGCTATATTTGGACCTAAACTAAGGTGTTCAGAGTAATTTTACATGTTTTAGGGGTTTAGATCTAGATATAGCGGTAACAAATTCTCAAGTCCCTGTGAGAGGATAAAGCTTTGAACAACACTGACCATCGGAAACCATGTTAGAGCCGGTGCTTTCTGGTGGATATCCCATTTAAAATGAGGTACGACTTTGGAAATTTCATAACTTTAATTTAGTTATTGCAAAAATAAAACCCCTTGGAGAAGGATGGAAACCGGATAAGTCGTTTAATGCAACACGACAAACAAAGTGGAACCTTTAACTCAAATTAGTGGTTTGTTCGTAAAGCGGAAAAACGGATAAATCAAAGCACTTGAAAATTTCTTGAATACGAGGCTAGTTGATCTATCGTTAGCATTACTTCTAGCTATTCAGGAAACTTTCCAAGAAATTAACTCACATATCTTTTAATTTGGTATGTTGGAAGTATTTCATTTGGCCTACATACGATACTGACAAATTGACAATCGTTCCAAGACATACTCACCCTATGTCCCCCACTGGTTCAACCTACACTCGAGTCGCGTCTGACATTCTGCTACCACTAGCCCTCCAACTACTGGATCGCGGGTTCGAGACCCACGTGGTGCAGTCGCCAGGTACTGGTCGCAGGTTGGTGGTTTTTCTCCGGGTACTCTGGCTTTCCTCCGCCACATAAACCTGGCAAGTCCTTAAATGACCATAGCTGTTCCAACATTTGTAATTAGACGAGCCACACCCAACGTTTGATCAAAACTTCTGACGGTATAAATCAGTACCGTCTACATTTTGTCATTTATAGTTGTGATTCATATAACAATGTTTATTTGTTATAGTTGGTGTACTCTGACCTATTCTGATGGATACAAAGTTATATTAGAAGTGTTAATGGTTTAGATCAACTCTTTTACCGAGGGTCTATCTAGACCCTAAAACGTGTTAACGCTTCTCTGGAAACATAATTTCAGGTTCAAACCTATAGCTAGCTGTTGTTCCATACTCTAAGGTCCATAGCTGTATTCAGAAATGATCACTATATAATTTACGGTTTGTAAATGGGTTTGTTTATTAATAACACTTGTTTTGTGTACAGAAACTCAATTAAGAAACTTTAATTTGAGTGTTACCTGAATCCCAGAGCAATTGATAACATTCTCACAGAGTGATGCCAGTGTTGGGGAAAGGGAAAAACACCATCATTTATTTTAGAAATATTCATATCATTGTCAAATCCTGAAACAGCTCCAACGACAGATGTGATCCCTCAGAGTGGTCGCTTTGCCCAGAGGTCAACCTCCGACAGGGGCCAGAGGATAATTAGAAAAGGACGATCAATTTACCTCGCTACCTCCCTCCGGCGCTCTGTAAAAAGCATCTGTTTTCGTCGTTGCCGCCCTCGGCCCTGTTTCCGGAGATAAGTGTGCTTGTATACAGCTGCCGTTCCTCTGACTAGAACAGCCCCCAGACAGATGTAGATTACAATATACATACGAAAACCACCGGCTTTAATAGAGTTATCAGAAAAATGTAAGGCTTCAGGGTTGAATGATTTCACATGTAGGCGTCCACAAAAAATAGACTTATATCATCGATTACTGCAGTGTTAAAACCGTCACGTATTTCTGTATTATATTTATTTTTGTGTTTTGTTTGTTTTGTTTTTAATTTTAGATGATGGTACCTCAAAGCATCGTTATTTATTGAAACAATGGATATTGGTTATATATTGTACACCTTTACGCACATTTTATTTTGTACAGTTCTGGCAGTTTCAACATAGCATTATATGTGATATCAAAACAGCATCACTGGGAAATGTATTGCTTTTACCTGGAAGGCGGAAAACAACAACTCATAATGATAGTGGGATACTTGTGGAAATGTATGTGAAGTTTCATAACAATTTGATAAGATATGACGTCTCTTGACCGATATCACTATTTTGTTGTTGATGGAAATGCTGACCTTAGTTTTGACTCAAAACAAATTGGAACATTAACTCGTACAAATTGTTAACACGTATGCAAAGTTTCATGACACTCAGATAAGAAAGAATGTAAACATAGAAATGACACAAAAATCTATTTATAGTAACGGTAACTACTTTTATTTAATCTCACAAGGTCAAAACGTGAGAGCCGATGATTGTTAACGCACAAAGGACGTTTCCTGACAATCGTAAGTCTGTGGAGCAATAATTCTTATTACTGTAACAATGACCTTTTTTGACCCAAAATGTTAAAATGCGAAATCCTTTCGAACGCATACAAGAATTTACATGACCATCGGATAAGAAATAAAGTCTGTAGAGCGATGACGTCAGGAACGCGTGCGTATGGGTCCCTAGGGGACATAACACTCGCGCGAGATTTATAACCTTATTAAATGGCCAAAACATGAAGACACTGTTTGAGGCATTACTACCATGACAGCTCACAATGTTTGCATCATTCTGAACAAACTGAAAGTTTAAACAGACTTTCAAGGTGACTGACATGGTGGCCATATTGAATTTCAAATCAGATCCACAAAACAGCAATTTGTGAAGACCATCCTTTCTACTTTGTTTTGGCTAATTCGGCTCAGAAGTATTTTCATTTAAATTCAGATTTAGTTTTCAAAATGGCTGCTAGGCGGATATATTGGATTTAAAATCGACTCTTGTACAATGGTCGAGTCTGTACAATGTACCGGCGAACTAAATTCAGCGGAACCTGAGTTTAAATTCCAAATACATTTTCAAAATAACAGCCATGGCGGCAATATTGGATTTGAAAGCGGTCCAAAAATAACATGATGTGGTCTGGACCACGCACTGAATTCTAGCATGATTATTTTACACATCACTGTTTCTTAAACATGTATCGACTACGATAAATATGTGTATTGATAAAAATCGAAATTACCAAGCAACAAAATAAGCTCCTTCGGCAATTTAATGCCGGGTCCACGATATTGAGCTCAAAGTCAGACAATATAGATACACCCTGAGGCGCAACTACGACCAGGCTCGTGTAGATACAACATAGCTGTACCACCAGGTCTACCGACCCATCTTCACAATAGCAATGTAGTTCGCACTATTCATCTGTTCTTGTTCATTTCCGGTTCTACTGTCATGTTGTATGATCAGGGTTATTATCGCAAATAGACTACGTCAAAAGCTTTAGCTAAACATCGCTTGTCGAGGAAACCTGGAACATTTTTGTTTCAGGTTCTTTTGCTAATAGGGCATCTCTGAAAGTTTCAAGAAATGCCTAATATTTCCACCACCGCTCAAGGACAATTACCGGTCGCTTACTTCCGGTTTCATGGAGTACTATTTTCTACCGGTCGCTTACTTCCGCTTTCAAAAAGTTCCATTATATTTTCTCTATACAGATAACACTGTTTTTTATTAATTCATGAATGGACTTTTTTGCCGAATTTTTAACGAACTATAGCGGTTCTTAACTTGTGCTGCGTAATGAGGGACGGATATTGACCATATTGACAAGGCAAAATAGTTTTAGCCTACGTCACATAACTTGCCCTACGTCTACTGCTAACACTACGTCATATTATTAACCCTACGTCATATAACTTACCCTACGTCTGGTTACTTGGTATATGGAGATTTCCACACAGTTCACCACAGTGAACCTGAATATGAATAAGGTAATTGATTTGAACACAGTCGATAGATTTCACCTCAACAAGTTATACGCAAGTATAATTAGTAATGACTCAAGGCGCTGTGGTTCTTGAGAAGAAGTCGTTGGAATTGTTCGATACAGATGAACTAGCTGACCTTGAAAGTAAATGTTATTCATTTGAACATACTTAAGAGTTCTTAATCGCATCAAAATTCGGGTCAAATGTCATGTTTCTGAATCTTGCGGTTTTATTACGGACGCTGCGCCATGCATGACACTCGCACGTGATAGAAAAAGAAGACGAAGAAGAAAATATGAATTGACGACGGACGCCGAGCAATGGCGTAAACTTGCAGGCACTTCTTCGCAGAAAAGCAAAAATTCTCGAAACACAGAATAGAAAATGTGATCGTGTTTAATGGCACATTCAAAATAGAAGTAAAAGCAAATGGATTTCATGATTCAAGTTCAGGTAACATAATTGGCATCTGTTCTTTGTAGAAAATGAAAACGGAACAATCCATAACAAGGGTATTCTATACCTACCAGTATTAGTGCACACTGTTGTCTATTCAAACCTCCGTTGACAAGACTTTTACGTAAATAAAACCGCGTTTAGAAAAACAGCTAAAATAGATCACTTAATCTAATGGTGCGCATTGAAACATGACTCTACAAAACGATGTAAAATCCGGACACAAAACATTTCTGTCTTTACCTAGTTTCTGGCAGCACACTGTCACATCCGAATATATTGTCCAGTCGGGTTTCAATTTATAGGAAATTAACAATTTATTTCATAATTATATTGTAATTATGTGTTGATCTAAGGAACTATAGGCTGAAAATAAAGTAGTCAAAAACACAATAAACAGAAACATAAGTTTCACATAAGAACAAGAAGCTGGGTACTTAAACCAAACAAGGAGCTGGTTACTTAACCAAACAAGGAGCTGGGTACTTAACCAAACAAGAAGCTGGGTACTTAAACCAAACAAGGAGCTGGTTACTTAATCAAACAAGGAGCTGGGTACTTAACCAAACAAGGAGCTAGGTGCTTAACCAAACAATGAGCTGGGTACTTAACCAAACAAGGAGCTAGGTACTCAAACCAAACAAGGAGCTGGGTACTTAACCAAACAAGGAGCTGGGTACGTAACCAAACAAAAAAATGCTTTCTCAATGATCTTCGATATTCATAATCACATCCGATAATATAAATCAAAGAAATGAATTTTTAGGTATTCTTGTCTTTAGGGTATTTTATTACAGCATGATAGTCAAAAAACTTGCCATCAAAAATAAAACAGCACTGTACGGAGAAAATAATTATGGTAAAACAGGTGGCATTGCTTTCCTTGCTATTTTTTTTGGATCCTTGTTCATCAGTACAAGTAGTGGACGAGAACAGCTCTACAATCACAATAAATCATATACGATCTGTGCAATGCATGCTCCATTTCGGACCTGTAACAACAATTGCGTCATCAATACATGCGTATTACTTTATATACCGGGACGCTGATAATATATACACAACACAAGTAACATGGAACTGATGAATCGATCAAAGTAATGACATTGTATTGTGCCAGTCTCTAAGTAAGTACAAGCGTAACATATAACTAACAAGGACATGCAATCACACAAATATGGGACTTTTATCAGTCAAAAGACCAGACATCGGCTTTGGAATAAAGACGTTTTTTTCGCCAATTGTTCTGAACGTACATCGGGAACTTCCGGTTCTACCTCCTTAACTCATATTCCGTTAGACATTTTGAACTTCGGTTCAACATTCCTTTCAACAGTCTGAATTCCTGATTCAACATAAAGATACAATTTTTGAACTCTTGGTTCAACATAGTACTCAACATTTCGAACTTCCTATTCACTAAAAATGTTCCGATACTCTCAGGAAGTATTCTAAAAGTCAGTGTTATCTGTCATGGAACAAATTAACAACACCTTTATTTACAGCTTTCACAGTCATGTTTTTCTATCCAACAGTTCAACATGCGGTCAAGCGCACGTGATAAATGTTTTTATTTAGGATGAGTAATCTCGTTCCTACAGCGATTTGCAATTGGTTCGGAGAAACAAGTACTCGGTAAATTGCTGGCCTTCGACACCTCCACCTGTAGACGCATGGACAAGAAACTTGTGGTTGAACAGACGCTGAAGGACCTGGATGGAATTTAGTTTGCAGAAGCCATTGACAGGGAAACGAATGACGTATCTGTTGTCCAAGTTAAATCCAGAGTTCCTGGAGTCCATCAGAGCTGGAGTGAGCTCAGGGAAAACTTCTTCTAGCAGATGTTTCTCGGCACTGAGAGAAATCCTTTCGCCAAGATCGGGGCTGATACTGACAGCAATGCAGTCGGAAAACTCGCCACTGCGCATTTGTTGTGGTTGGTGCTGCTTCTGCGCATTGACTGAACTTCCCACTTCCGATTTCTCCATTTTGATATTCTTGCACCTGCGCAAAATCTCAACTTCCCTGACAATGCCGTGTAAATCGTAGTATCTTGCCTCCTCAATAAGCTGGTCGTACTCTCGGAAGCCTTCGGGCAGCATCAGCCGGGAGGACCTGAGATAGTTGAGGATGTGGCGGAACATTTTGCCATCCCGATCGATGAAGTAATGTTGCTTGAGGCTATCCAGAATGATAGGAATGTTGCCATTGAACATACGTGCTAGCTTGGACTCTGGGCATCTGTGGAGGCAAACAAAAGATGTATTTAGTATTATAGAACGCTGTCGTCCCTTAGGTATCGGACAATCAATACACAATCAATATACGTGCGCTATCCATCCCCACACAGACTCTTTGAAGTCTTTGATTCCAATACACGTACAGTGCTATGAGCCGCAGCCCCCGGCTAACTGTGACTATGGTGCCGTGTCCATATCGCTAAACTCGGGTTCAACCATGAGGTGACTTTTAATTGCAAATGGCATGATATCACTGACAGACATATCAAAAGTCTAGAAAAAATATCGCTATTCGAACAGTTGTTTTTTTAATAACAATCAAATTCTTTGGTAAAAGTTGACCAAAAAACACCAGTCTATGCCTTATAACACTAAATAGCAAACATATTGCGTTCACTTTTTTAAAACAAGAGGTTTATGAAACTAAAACAAGGAGCTTTATTTTTTTGGGGAGTTTTAGGCGAGCTGAAAATCTTTGGGGCACAATTTTCTCCAATTTCGCATGAAAAAGGAACAAATTCGAATATAGAATCTTTATCATAAATTATATCTTTGTCATGAAGTGGGATTGTAATTTATTTAATATACATTTATAATCCTAACTGCAGGCCAACACGCTTTTTTGTTTCTCCGATGTTAATCATGTTTCACGGAGGGGAATCCCGGGTGAAAAACGATTAATCGAGGAGAAACAAAGAATCGTGCTTCCCCGCGTCAAGGGCAGTATTTTTTCATTATGCCGATAAATAAATAAATCAAAATCATAACACAATTGTAGAGACGAAAAGGTTGACGCGCCATTGTTGTCGTCAACTTCCGTCATTCGGAACTAAGTTGTGGTGGATCTTTTCTAGGGATGCTCCGAATAAGGGAAACCTGAGCGGGTGAGGCCGACATACTGTTTCATTATCCCGCCATGTTATGTGAGTGTTTCAATGATTTTGCAGAGGAGTGAAGTCGTTGAAATGATAATAACTTCCCGTGGTAAACAAAACATGCGAAATTTGTTCTTCATAACGTGTATGAATGGTACATTTCATAATATGAGATGGACTGCTATATACAGCTATAGTTATAAGACACCTAGCCCTCACACTCCTATTCTGTGCTCGAGCCCAACTTCTTGTAAGAGTAATTAACTAATCAAAATCACGTTTTGCTCGTAACTTCGTCCATTATTTTGAATGGTATTAGAAAGACTTCAGGTCAAACACCATTTTCAAAATTAACACTGGACTTCTTACCAGTGTCATATTTATGAGAGGGACAAGACAGTTGGTTTGAGCATGAAATCGGTTTCATGAATACGGGTCCTACATTTGTACTGTAATAACTACAACACCTAGACTTGTACTGTTATAACTACAACACCTAGACGTGTACTGTAATAACAACTACACCTAGACTTGTACTGCTATAACTACAACACCTAGACTTGTACTGTAATAACAACTACACCTAGACTTGTACTGTTATAACTACAACACCTAGACTTGTAATTACAACACCTAGATTTGCACTAACAACACCTAGACTTGTACTAACAACACATAGACTTGTACTTACAACACATAGACTTGTACTTACAACACCTAGACTTGTACGTACAACACCTCGACTTGCACTTACAACACATATACTGGTACTTACAACACATAGACTTGAACTAACAACACATAGACTTGTACGTACAACACCTAGACTTGAACGTACAACACCTAGACTTGTACTAACAACACATAGACTTTTACTAACAACACCTAGACTTGTACTTACAACACATAGTCATGTACCTACAACACGTAGACTTGTACTTACAACACCTAGACTTGTACTTACAACACATAGTCATGTACCTACAACACGTAGACTTGTACTTACAACACCTAGACTTGTACGTACAACACCTAGACTTGCACTTACAACACATATACTTGTACTTACAACACCTAGACTTGTACTTACAACACCTAGACTTGTACGTACAACACCTCGACTTGCACTTACAACACATATACTTGTACTTACAACACATAGACTTGAACTAACAACACATAGACTTGTACGTACAACACCTAGACTTGAACGTACAACACCTAGACTTGTACTAACAACACATAGACTTTTAATAACAACACCTAGACTTGTCATTAGAACACCTAGACTTGTACCTACAACACCCAGACTTGTACTTACAACACCTAGACTAGTACTTACAACACCTAGACTTGTACTTACAACACCTAGACTCGTACTTACAACACATATACTTGTACTTACAACACATATACTTGTACTTGCAACACCTAGACTTGTACTTACAACACCTAGACGTGTACCTACAACACCCAGACTTGTACTTACAACACCTAGACTTGTACCTATAACACCCAGACTTGTACTTACAACACCTAGACTTGTACTTACAACACATAGACTTGTACTTACAACACCTAGACTTGTAATTACAACACCTAGACTTGTACTAACAACCCCTATACCTGTACTAACAACACATAGACTTGGAATAACAACACCTAGACTTGTCATTAGAACACCTAGACTTGTACCTACAACACCTAGACTTGTAATACCTAGACTTGTACGTACAACACCTCGACTTGCACTTACAACACATATACTTGTACTTACAACACATATACTTGTACTTGCAACACCTAGACTTGTACTTACAACACCTAGACATGTACTGTAATAACTACAACACCTAGACTTGTCCTGTTATAACTACAACACCTAGACTTGTAATTACAACACCTAGACTTACCTAGACTTGTACTTACAACACCTAGACATGTACTGTAATAACTACAACACCTAGACTTGTACTGTTATAACTACAACACCTAGACTTGTACCTATAACACCCAGACTGGTACTTACAACACCTAGACTTGTACTTACAACTCCTAGACTTACCCAGACTTGTACTTACAACCCCTAGACTTGTACTTACAACACCTAGACTTGCACTTACAACACCTAGACTTGTACTTACAACAACTAGACTCGTACTTACAACACCTAGTCATGTACCTACAACACATAGACTTGTAATTACAACACCTAGATTTGCACTAACAACACCTAGACTTGTACTAACAACACATAAACTTTTACTAACAACACCTAGACTTGTACATACAACACATAGTCATGTACCTACAACACCTAGACTTGTACTTACAACACCTAAACTTGTAATTTCAACACCTAGACTTGCACTTTCAACACCAAGACTTGTACTAACAACACATAGACTTGTACTTACAAAACATAGACTTGTACTTACAACAGCTAGACTTGTACTTACAACACCTAGACTTGCACTTACAACACCTAGACTTGTACTTACAACACCTAGACTTGTACCTACAACACCTAGACTTGTAATATATATTATCTACAACACGGTGACATGTACAACAGTCATAAGATATATACCTTATGTGTACGGCCCGAATGAACTTAAAACCCGTAGCTTAATTGTTACATACGAATAGGGAATGCCTTATCTATTATAGATACTTCCACTGTTAGGCTAAATAGACTTCTCAAATTATAAACTTCTAGTAGAATTGTCTTTTATTGTTTTTATTCAAATCGATATTTTCAATTTTTTAAAGTAAAATGTTGTGCTCCTGGTACAGCGTGGTATACACAGAACCATTCGTATACGGAATTTAATCATTCCCAAAGTCATCATCGATATTGCTTCAATATTTAATAATAATACAATCTAATTTTCTGATAAATTTTTCTGAAAGTCGAAAGGTCTTTACAAAACTAATTACGCCCATTCCCTCGACATCTCATGTCAAAACTATTCCACAATTAACCCTTAGGGCCGTAAGAATTAAATATTTAATCCCTAAGTTTTCCAAATTTGTTTACGAGGGTATTTAAATGGTGCCAGCGTTTTGACAGGGTTTTAGGGAGGTCCACAGAGTACGGAGAAGTCAGTACATGGAGAAAAATCTACTTTGGAATGCTTTACGGCCGGTACGACACCAAGTGTCTCGTTAAGCTGGCTCCGGGCTATTATCTCTGCTTCTTAAAAGTGGGTCCCTCGGCTATAATTCTATCCAAACCTTTCACAGTCATGCGCGCTCCAATTAAAATCTTTATCCTGTAGCCTCGGGCAAGACTGACACTAAAATCAATGTTTTCAGCGAATTGCATTTTAACTGAAGAAGCAGGGCCGCGGGGTGGTAGATTTTCATTTAGAAATGAGAACGTATAAGGCTCATGGCCATTCTCCGTGTAGGATTTCTGTCTAATTATTCCTGCTTCAAAATCTCTGCCCCGAGCAGGGGATTGTTTACATTCGAGACTGTATTAAAAGGTTACAGGCATACGACTCTTAGGTATCCAAATACACAGGCCACATATTACCAGCTCAATCAGACGGCCATTGTCGGCGGTGTTCTCACGAGTCGGGTGTAATGTACTCAGACAAACAGCAAATAACCACTAAGTACAGAAAACTTGGTAAAAAGCTGCTGTGCATTGGAATTCAAACGCACCAGTCCCATTAGAACCGTATGAACGGAACTGGAAGAGACAGAAATTCCATAAAGTTGCCGTTTGAATACTTGAGAACATATAATTTTAATTTTAATCAAAAGGTTAAAAAAAGAGTAGAACAAAATTGAAGATAACTGAAAACGCTCACAATAGCCTTACTAGATTGACGTAACATTTTATGGTCATGCCAAAATTCGAACTTGTCCGAGGTAAGTCAACAGTATATATATCTATGAATGTCATAAAAATCTGTTAGAACAAGAGTTGTGAGGATATTATTCTAATTTAATGATATTTGACCTTTGACCGATCAGTCAATACACCAATGATGTCTCATCAAAATGTGCTAAAAATATGGCTGCTAGTGTGATCACATGGAGTGTAAGAGTGATCACATGGAGTGTAAGAGTGATCACATGGAGTGTAAGAGTGATCAAAACTTTTCGATTGATA